CTTACAGATCCTGCTATCCCAGGGGTGATCAAAATACAGCCCGTGGGGCAGATCAAGCCCTCCAAGGGATTTTATCTGGCCTGCAGCAGGTCCCTCAGCCCTGCCTAGCCCACCCATGGGGGATAGCTGCAGCTATGGATGTGCAGCTGGTTCTGCTGCCCCCAGGCACACAGCAAAGCAGGGGCAGTGCAGCAGCTGAACTCCCCTCCCCAGCCGCAACAGCAGTTCATTCCAGCTACTGCGGCCAGGGTCATCGCTGCTGGACCCAGCCCCACTTCCCAGGCACTCAGACCAGTCAGCCCTGCACCCACTGCCAGGGGCACCAGACAGAACAGGCAGGTAACCAGGGTCTCCATGGAAACCAGCCCAGGACCCTGCGGGCAGGACATGCCAGGCAGGTGAATGGGATGGAGCCACAGGTGGATGGGGAGTGGCAGCATCTGAGAGCAGGCAGGGCCAGGGCTAGGATCCTGGGGCAGAGACGGTGCAGAGCCATGTGGGGAGCAGATTGCAGTTCTGCCCTGGGCCCCAGCCCCATGTTGAGACCACCCCAGAATCTGAGCCTGGCCCACCCATTGTGCTCCCAGATGATGCTCCCCAACCACATGTGCCCCTGTCCCATCTGCCTGGCCAAGCACACTTTGCCCGCAGGGGTCTCAAGCCAGTCTCCATGGAGACCCTGTCCACCCACACTGTCCAGGATCCAGGACTGGTTTAGTAATCTACTACTTAGGGAGTTTTGGTGAGCTGTTGCAGGCTGAGGGGTGGAATAGGGTGCTGACCTGGCATGTAACAGCTCAACAAAACTCTCTAAGTGGCCTTTTCAGCCTAAATAATTACCCACTCCTGAGCTTGTACCTCGCTGGGCTCCCCCAAGCCCTGCTGGTGTTCCCCTAGTCCAGATCCCCAGCACCTATCATCCCAAACCTGGGTCAACCCAGCCCTGCCAGGATCCCCCACTTTTGACCCCTAACCTTACCTGCCCACAGAGGGAGCAGCCTGTGCTTGCTCATGGTACGTTTTCCTGCCTAGGAAGGCTGTGTGTGGGGCATCAGAATGAGGTGATGTCTGTCTGTCCCTAGGGCGTGCTGAGGCCATACGGATGCTGTTGTCTGACCAGGGACAGCAGTGGAAGGAGGATGTGGTGACCCAAGAGCTGTGGCAGAAGGGAGAGCTTAAGAAATCCTGTGTAAGTGACTTTGCCATCCCCAGACATGCACACATGCATAATCCCGTTGTCCCTCTCAGCACAGCTGTCTAACAAGGGATAGAGCAGAGCCCCCACTCAGCCATGGGTGAACACAACACTCACTCTAGCCCCCTCCCCTGGGGTGGTCCCATGTGGGCAGCCTGCTCATGTGCCCAATGGCCTGACCCGCTATCATTGTGGGTCAGGATGTGGAGAGCTGCAGAAGTCCTCCCTTGGCCCTGACAAGCATGCTGTGTGCTATGGCACCTTATCCCCCTTGATTTGCCCCCGTCTGTTTCACCCTAGGATTGCCTTTGGGAAGGTACCTAGCTCTGTATGTATCCTGATGTTCAGTGCTTGGTGGGTCAAGAAAGCCCACATCACCTCTACATTGGGGGCTACCCCCTTCCACCTCTGCCTTCTCTCCCTTTATAGCTGTTTGGGCAGTTGCCCAAGTTCCAGGATGGAGACTTGACCCTCTACCAGTCTAATGCCATCCTGAGGCACCTGGCCAGGACATTTGGTAGGCCAAGGAGGGCTATTGGGGCAGGGTTAGAGCTCAGTGTGAGGGATGGGTCTGAGGGAGCGAGCAGTGTTTTGGGAGGGCTCTGAGTCTGGGGAGAGTGGAAGCAGTTTAGGGGAGTGCAGATTGGAGCAGCAGAGATGGAGTGGGCAGTGGGGGCAATTTGGAAGGCACAGAGTGCAAGGAGGGTGGGCATTGGCTTGGAGGTGGGGGAATCAGGCTGTGGGGCACATGGGCAGAGTCACCTGAAGCTGACATCAGTGCCCTGTGCAGGGCTGTATGGGAAGGACTTGAAGGAGGCGACGCTGCTGGACATGGCAAATGATGGTGTAGAGGACCTGCGCCGCAAATATATTCATCTGATCTTCCAAAAATATGTGAGCAAGGGGGGGGCAGACACCCTGGATGGGGAGAGGGGGGCAAGCTAGATGGGGGGTTGGTGGGCTGGCCCAGTGGGTAGCCTTCACGTGGGTATATTGGTGGGAGCAGAGGGGGCCCTGGTACAATGTGGGGATCAGGGAACAGAGCCTGGGGGATCGGGGGGACTGGCCGCATCATGGAATGCTGCCACTGGAGGTGTGTAGGGTTCCTGTGTTGTGGATTTGGGGTCCCAGGTTGGGGATGGCCCTGACTCTGACTCATCTCCTCCCCCACACCCTCTTCCCTCCCCGTTCTCCAGGATGATGGCAAAGCAGCCTATGTGGAGGCACTGCCAACGGAGTTGCGCTCCTTTGAAACGCTGCTGTCCCAGAATCATGGAGGACAGACCTTCATTGTGGGGGACCAAGTAAGTTCAGGGAAGAGGGGGGAGATGAGGTTCTTCCCTACTACCCCCATCAGAGAGATTGGGGCATCTGTTCATTAGTCTCTTTGCTCTCGGCTCCTCCTAAGGAGATGCCCTATGTACTGACCCTGCCCTCCCTGCAGATTTCCTTTGCAGACTACAGTCTGGTAGAGCTGCTGCATGCTCACCTGTTGCTGGCACCTGGCTGCCTCAATGCCTTCCCACTTCTGTCTGCCTACGTGGAGCGAGTAAGTGCCCGGACCCGCCTATGTGCCTTCCTTGACTCACCTGCCCATCGCAACCGGTCCATCAATGGCAGGGACAAGCAGTGATGCCCCCCCTAAACCCCAGATCTACAATAAAGCTGCTGCCAGGAAAGACTCGGGTTGCTGTGTTTTTATGGGGCTGGGGCAAAGGGTGGTTGGGGACACACTGGTTGAGCCACAGGGGTGGGTGCTTCTGACTGGCAAACTGGTCTGTGCCTGGAGCTGTGTCTGGCAGAAGGAATCTATGCTTGCTCAGTGTTTTTCAGAAAGGGAGCCTCGATGACGGTGTTGTTGCTAGGTTTATCCTTTCCTGGCCCAACCCGAGGGACACCGTCTCTCCTATGGGTACTTTGGTAGTTCAGTAGCAGCTTAACCAAAGTGGTACATGCCCAAACTCCTGCAGTGGCAGAGAAACCCAAAAATCCTGGTCTGCAGCTTGGTTGTGCTGTCACTAGCTGATAACAATATTGTCACTTGCAGCCTTGGCTGTTGCTATGATGCTGGGTGGGGTATCTCCTAATAAGCAAAGGCCCTACCCCAAGACACTCTTCTGCCCCAGCAAGCTACTGGTTTGGGGGCTCAGGAATGACTTGGGAGCACAGGTGGAGCCAGCTAATGGGGCAGCTCACCATGCCCACATTTTCCAGGACTTCGGTACTTGGGAAAGGTGGAAACAGCTGTCACGGCTTGCAATGCGGAAGGTTGCCTCAGCTGGCCCAGGCAGACACTAGCTTATGCCAGGCATGGCTAAAACAGGAGGCATGGCAAAGGCAGCTCTGGCAGGTCAGTAGACCTAGGGA